CTTGACGATGATGACGAATTTTAATAAAATTTTTATGGTATAATAAATCCGAATACCTATTCATTTTTTATTTTTTTTTTAAAAAAAATTTATATGTAGAAACTGGTTTTATTAAGATTATTGTGAGGTACGGATATTTTCGCACCGAACCATATCGCCATTAATATATATTTTTGTAATTTAAATTGAAATAGGGTGGCGTTCATAAGTCTGACTATAAAAATAAAAATTTAACAATTTGACATCACAAACGACGACGAGATAAAATGAAGCCCGAATTATTATTGACTTTTAACTTTAATAAGTTGGCAAAATTTTATGAAAACACCAAATATTGCGACATTTCGATCATTGTCGGAGGCATTCGAAATACTGAGCCAACTTTTATAGCACATTCGTCAATATTAGTAGCGCAGTCGGAATATTTTGCTGTCGCTCTTTCCGATAACGAGAAGCTAATAAACTAATAGTTTTTAAGAAACCAAATATTGAACCGCGTATTTTTGAAATATAATTAAGGTAATCTTTGTTTTTAAAATAATCGTAATGTTTTAAATTATATTAAGCAGAGATTAATATATGGTTATTATATAAAGATATATGTACAGTGGCAAAATTGATTTGTCAGATCATGGAGTGCCAACACTTTTAGATTTATTAGTCGCTGCCGATGAGTTAATTCTTGAAGATTTGATTGAATATATTCAAGAATATCTTTTGGAACAACATTCTGAATTCATAGTTGAAAATTTCGCTATGCTCAATCAAGTTGCTTTTCAACACAACTCCTTTGATAAACTCCAAGAATTCTGTTCGGAAATCGCATGCAAAAATCCGGCTGCCAATCCAGCGATTTTGCAACATTGAAGAGACAGCAATTATCTCTTTGCTCAAACGAGATGATTTGATTTAGATGAGATTGAAATTTGGGAAAAGGTTCTTGAATGGGGAATCGAACAAGCATCTGCTTCCGGCAACGTCGATTTATCGATTCCAGTGGAACAATGGTTACAAACCGAATTTAATCAACTCACGCTTCGCTCAAAAACTGTCTACCATTAATTCGTTTTTTTCATATAAACTCTGTTGATTTCTACAACAAAGTGATGCTATATTCGGAGCTATTACCAAAAAAGCTTTACAAGACTTTATTGTATCATCATTACTTGGTACCTGGAAGTGAGAAGCAACAAGAATCACTTCACCACATTCGTAATTCATGCGACCAAACATCAGCACTTCTTTCACGCGACCAATCCAATAAAATAATCCAATGGATAAAGAACAAGATAGTGAAAAAAATTATCCATTCGACTTTAACCTATTATTACGTGGTAGCCTGGATGGATAATTTCCACCGTTTATGTGATCACAAAGGTCCAACTATTGTTGCTGCTCGTGTTAAAAATTCCAATAAAATTATCGGTGGTTACAATCCTTTTGAATGGAAATCTCTTGACCGACAGCATTCTGGATTAACAAACTTTTTATTCAAATTTAATTCTAATGCTATCATGGGATCAAATGGAATTTCAAGTAAATATAAATCTGGTGTTTCTGTATGTGACTATAAAAATATCGGTCTTTGTTTTGGATATGGATATGACTTTGTTTTATTTAGTACTTTAGGTAATTATTATTTCAAATATTCTTTTGAGTTTGGCCTTTTGAGTGATACAATACCACAAGATCTTTTTGATATTGAAGATTATGAAGGATTTCAAATAGTTCAGAAATAAATTATTCTTTTAAGTTCTTTATCTTTGGCTTTAGAATTTGCACCAATTCCCTTAAAAATCTAATTAATTAGATCATTAACGATAACCACAAATATCTTATTAATCAAAACTTCAATTAATGCGATCATGTATAAATGCCAAGTGATTCTGAGCCAAATTAACAATTTTGTCATCAGAAATCGAGAATTATGTGCCCTACCTATGCTTCACAATTTTTACCAGAGTTTTACACACCCTAAAATATATTACTGGAAATTTCAAAGATGAATTTGTTACTTTTGAAATCCGACTTCCGTAATCCCATTCGAACAAAGAAATCACCATTAGATTCGTCTTGACTATACGAATCTAATGGCGATTTCTTTATTCGAATGGGATTACGGAAGTCGGATTTCAAAAGTAACAAATTCATCTTTGAAATTTCCAGTAATATATTTTAGGGTTGTGTGAGGTTTAAAATTACTGTGAAGTACTTTCCATTTATCGCTATGCATAAATTTATTATTGCAGAAGCTCTTCTTTTAATGTTAATACTGTTATCAATTTCGCTATTTTTACAAATTTACATACATATAGTTTTTACTATATTAAAATGTATACTGAATATATGTAATTGTTTATTTTAAAATTAAGCAAAAAATTTTTTGGTTATAATAATTATGATTCTCTTTCATTCGTGGACTGCCAGTTAAAGGAGAAATCGTCCAAACAAAAAATAACAAATACATTCAAATCCAGTATGGTGCATAAAGTCATCAAACGTTTGTATTTATAAAATGTATAAACTTTTTTACTAAGAACTGAATACAAAATTTAATTTGTGAATATGCTCAGAAAAGGCCTATTCTATTATATTCACGGATTAAATTTTGTATTTACTTCTTAGTAAAGAAGTTTATACATTTTATAAAATACAAAGGTTTGATGACTTTAGATTTTATGCACCATAACGATAGCTAAAAGCCTTAAACCATTCAACACAATGCGCTTTCAATCAATAATTATGCCGTTTTATCAATAAAAATGCCTTTTTCTGGACTAAAGGACCTAACCATCAAATTCTGTGTCTTTACAAAACTATACTATTTGGTGGTGGAAGAATTGTACGCAATTATTTCCATTTTACAAGTGTTACTTACTTGGAGAAGAATTGTGCGCAATTAATTTTGTCTTTTATTGATGTTTTTAAGGACCTTTATATATATTGTTACATATTAGAATAGTGTTCTAGAGCTATTTATCCTAATATATTATTGCTTGAAAGTGAATTAAAAGCGAAAAACAGGGAGCGAATACGAATTAATATTATGGAAAATAGGACAGGACATTACACAAAGAAGCTCGGATAGACGAAGAAAATTGTCGAAATCGATAACAATAGATTATTTAATACAGTATTCACAAAAACTTTCAGTTATCTGAATCACGTATTTTACGGATCCGAACATAGTCCAATATTACTGACAATTCAGAAATTGTGATTAGAAATTTAATAGTTATGCTAAGTCGATATCAATTTCGTGCTCATTCGTCATGTATATGTTTTCTGTAACAAATTGCAAAATTTGTATAACAGCATGATATATATGAAAGAACAATAAATTTAAGAAATGATAGCTGTCACAAGAGAAAAGTTTACCTGCATCTTTGTCATCCAACTCCCGTTTGTTGGGTTGGTAAGAAACACCGGACTCAAGTGCTCGGTTCGCAGGTGTCAAGAATTTTTCCTGTAATTCTTGCAAACTATATACGGAACTGTGATACCTTGTTGTGCAAGGAATTACTGATTTTTGGTCAAGCTGGGGAAAAGGACGTTTCTTATCTGCTTTTTGAAACAGCTTTTTAATCTCAGGATCCATCTCAATAGCCATAAAACTATTGTCATAAATCCGAAGTATTAAACCGTGACTAGAGGCTCCTTCCGTAAATAACCACCTTTCTATCTTCTCAGAAGCCTCCTTTGCCGTTGGCCGCTTCTCGGGATCATCATGCATACATCGTTTAGCAAAATCAATATCAATTTGAGGAGTCCCTTCTTCAAAGTGGGGACGTAAACCGTCACAGATTTCCAACATCAAAATTCCACCATACTCGCGTTTGGGTAAGGGAAATTGGCCAGTTGATATTTGAGACATTATCACTCCGAGACTATAAATATCTTGGGCCTGCAAAAAAATTGGTAACGTTATAACGTATGTTTGAAGGACCGAATTTGATATATTTAATACATGCACATCACCTGAGTATATATTTGTTGACGCAAAATTTCTGGTGCAATATAAGGTAGCACACCTATGATAGCATTTGATGGTTCGATTTGTCCTTTATTGATCGCTCTTCCAAAATCTGAAATAACTGAAACCATATGATCAGTCGCAAATTTCAAGCATTTTCTTAAGCGAATCGAATCAATAGCCTACTACCACTGCCACTCCGACTAATGAGTATATTTCCTCCATGAATATCTCGATGAATAATGCCCGCCTCGTGTATATGCAAAAGAGATAAAGTAATATCATATAGAATTGACAATCGATTCGCCCAACTAATGTGTGGGTTATTTTTCAAATATTTACGCAAATCACTACCTTCAGCATAGTTCATTACAAGGAGAAATTGATTTTCGTTATTTTTTGAGACACCAACGACCTGTACTCCCATATGAGATTCATCATCACGTTTAATTTTGAATTTCTTAAGTGCTTTCAGCTTTAAAAAAAATCAATATTTAAGCTTAAATTTGCTTGCATAATCAGTATAAACATAAAAGTGATCAAAACAATATACCTCAATAAGAAAATTTTCATTAGAATTAAAAGTCTTTATGGCGAACTTCCCATATATGTATTTTGGTTTATCCAGCCAATCAGCTGAGTACACTATTGCAAATCCCCCAATACCAATTTGCTCAAAGTTTCGCATTTGATCATATGGAATCCATTTTAAACAGGGAAAATCATGCTTGTCAGCTTCTCGTTGCGTATTCTTTATGATTTCGTCGACCTCTGAATTTCCACTTGTCCATCCCATCATCAATTCTTTAGAGTCACACTCGTGACACCACGAATGCTCATTAAATGTGCAACAAGAAGTTTTGCATAATGAACGTGCGACTAATGCATATCTGTCTTGCCCAATACTTGAGATTCCAAAAAGAGCCACCTCATAATCACAAAAGCGCCAACCATCAAAGTCTTCTTGATTATGTTCGCCAATATAGCGAAAAATAACACCCAATCCTTTAAACAACTGTCAAAAAGAAATGAAAATTAACCGCCGAAGTCTTGTATCCAAATAGCAATCATTCTCATTCTCTGCACAATTTATTCTGTTTGGGAATTATTTACCTCGTGCATAAAGCGTGCGTCATCATCATCAACATGAAAAAACTGGGCTTCATCACACCAGTATCGAATAATGCGAGGATCTGGGAGAAATTCAACACCGCAATTCAGGACACTAAAGGTAACTTTAACAGTCTTCCACTGATGTGCTATTTGCCTATTTTTGTCAACTGTCCACCCATCATATTCACCTTCCACCCAATCAGCGCTGTAGGTCGTTCCGGCATTACTATTGCTGATTGTTACCAGATTTTTTAGGCTCTGTGGGGGTATCCATCTAAGGCAAGGAAAGTTGGGCTTGTTTGCTTTAGTTTGTGACATTAGGATGACTTGATCATACTTCTCGGATCCACTTGTCCACCCTGGAGTATACTGATTGAATTTACATTCATTACACCAGGTAAGATTGTCAAGTAGACCACCACAATTGTTGCAAATGTCCCCGCAACTAATGCATACTTATTTTGGTCATTAAATTTTGTAACGCCAAATAAGCCCAGCACCTGATAAATAGGATTACTCATATTTTGAATAGTTGCTGCTCCTTTTTCCAACTATCAAAAAAGGAAGCCGTATTAACAAATATAACTATAAAGCTGTTCTTCAGTTTAGTTTATTTCATTCCGTTATTTACCTCTTGCAAAAAACGCGTATCCACATCAGCGCTACAATTCAAGACACGGACCGCGACTTTGATAGTCTCTCGCCAGTGCACACCTCCTCTCCCATTTACCCAATCGGCTGAGTAGATAGTTCCAAAATTGCCTCTTCGGATTTCCACCAGGTTTATTAGGCTCTGTGAGGGTATCCATTTAAGGCAGGGATAGTTATGACTATCTGCGGATTTCTGCGTCTGTTGGATAACGGCATCATATTCCTTATTTCCACTCGTCCATCCCTTCATTAATTGTTCGATGTCACAGTCATTACACCAACTGTCTTCTCCAACGCACTTGTTGCAACGTATACATCTATTCTGAGACATTTTATTTTCGATAACTTTATTTTCGATAACTTTATTTTCGATACCTTTATTTTCGATACCTTTATTTTCGATGCGTGCTCTGGAAAAATCTCACTATTATTTTACGAGAACGAAATTCTATATTTCCTCGCAGTGAATAATAGATAGTTTAACGAAAGAAAAAAACGGGCATAAGTCTGAAGCTCAGCTTATCTATGTACCGAAAACCATTAACTAACGTTAATAGCAATCAGTGCTTTTTATTTTTACACGATTCCTGTGATAAATACAGAATTTCAAATTTTAAAAATACATTTATGCAGTTAGGAGAATGCCAGTGTTAGACCGAAACAATGTACGTAACAATAACCTATTATTCTCAATGGTCCATTACGTAGTTCGGTATAATCACTGGTCCTTGGTTCATACTACGGACAATAAGAACTATATTCAAGCTGCGTCACTAATCCGACTCACCAAATCAGATATTATAAGTACAAAGGGCCCCTTTATTTAATGCACATGTACAGTCGCCACAGAAAGTAACGCCCGATTTGGATGTGCAACATCAACATAAATTTAAATTTGGTGGGTTTCCCCCTTTTTGTTGTAGTTGACTGCAGATTTTTTTTATTTCTTTCTTCGACTTCTGAACATGCACTGGGCGAAATTTGTTGGCTGTAAATATAACACACACCGCCTCTAGTTGACCGACTTTGACAAGGGTAAATGGGTAATTTTTATTGGGGTTTTGAGTGCCGTACAAGTTGCAAGAAAAATGATCCGTGACTC